CTCGTTACTCTTTTCTTTTTGTGTAATTAAGGAGGAAAAATTAAATAGGTTTGTGTTGGCCAACTTGGGCAAAAAGTAGTGAATTTGAGAAGAACTTGGGCAAGTGGCTAGGAAGTATATCTAGGTGGCATTCATGCAATGCATGATTATGTGACAAAAGAATTTGTACAAGTGGCTAACATGAAAGAGAGGTTAACATGCAACCACTTAACCTATTACACATGATATGATTATAAGCCACTTCCATTTCTATAAATAGCCAAACCATGTACCCAACATTATCAATCTTTAACAAAGATAAGTGATGCCATCATTACATCTTAGCTTTTCCTTCTCTTCTTTTCTTACTTGCTGGTTTGTTCTTTAATTTCTCGGTTTGTGCATCCTCATAACGGGAGGTTGTTTAATTTGGGGAAACTTTCATACTGCTGAAATAGTGCATTAGAGGAAGGCTGAAATAGTGCATTAGAGGAAGGCTTGTTTAGGAGAAACTTTCACACTGCTGAAATAATGTGAAAATTTTCCCAAGATTAAATAAGCCTTCCTCTAGGAGAGAGCATGAACAATAAGATTTAAATAACAAACCAACAAGTTAGGAAAAAAATGAAGAGCAGCTGAGAGTTTGTTGGTGAAAAATGATTGCAGGAGAAAATTAAGCTATAGAGAATGTATGAAGATGGAGTCATAATTAGGTAGTTTTTGGTGTATAATGATGGAGCAATAACTAGGCTATTCATAGGGATGAGAGGTGGATCTAACCATGCTATGTGTTGTGTTTTAAGTGGTTGCTGTACAAAACACTTGTCCAAGTTCCTTTGCCGCTTAACCATGCACTTGTGCATGAATGCCATTTGTCCAAGATCTGTTACTTAAACATGTGGTCAAGTTCTATAGTTTTTCTAACGAGGGACAATCTTTTGAAAAACCCACTACTTTGCCAAAAGTGTTCTTAAATATAAAAAGAAAGCTTAAGAAAAAGTGCCTCACTCTAGATTCTAGAAACACAAAAGGGAAAAACTTCACCAAAAAAGTATACACTTGATGTATTTTTGCCCAAACCTCTTAGGTAAAGCGTGACTTAGAATTGCGTTGCCTCAACGAATATGCCTTGTAGAACACTGCACTTGAATGACGTCAATCCTCGAGGAGAAAGTATTTGGAGCCCAAGAGTTGACGTGACATGGGGAAAGAACCTGAATTTTGTGTAGGTCGAATGTGGTGATTTAGGGGTACCAATCCAGTAATACTAACAAAATCAATCAATCAACTAAACCTCAACACTAAACTAGTCGAAGACTTGGGGTTGACTGTATAATTCGTTCGTACCTATTCAGCTGTATTGGACCATCTTATTCCAATTCTGAATAGTTTGTCTTTTAAAGTGACTTGCGAGTTTTCGAAAACTAGAGGTTCTTTAAATAGCGCAATTCTCTAAGAGGAGAAACAAGTCTCTAATTCACAAACATACATGCTGTAATTGTAACAATAAAAGCTTTAATCCCAACTGGTTGATATCGTTCATAGGATTCTTTGCTTCTGTCATGTTTTATTCTTATCTAAACTCACATTAATTCTGAGAGAACCAGATCTTTTATACTTGAAGCCTTTAAAAGTACTGTCTTTTGTCTTATTGCTCATAGGATAGGCCATTAGATATTAATAAGGTGGCATTCGTCCTTCCTCATTTAAAGGTTGCTTATAATTATTTTCTAATGAGTAACCCAGCTTCCAGTTTCTTTTCATAATACCATAGTTTTCTTTGTGACAAAAATTTGAAGATGAAGCATTATCAATATTTAAAGATGATATCAGGGATGGGTGTGCTTCTGACGCCAAAAACCAGTTGTAAAATTCAGTATTGCTACGTCTCAACACATGCTTTTTGGCTAGCCTCAAATGTTATTGTGTGAATTTCAAGGCACAGAGGGACTTACTGGGTTAGAGAAGGGGCCGACTGGTCTTGTTCAGAGGACCTGTTCCTAGTTAAAGTCTTCCTCTTGATGTTAACGTCATACATTTTAAGTTGATGGTCTGGTTGTATAGTAAAAATCCCAATGTCTTTTCTTGACAAGTTTTACTCTAATTTACTAACCATTTTGTTGTTACGAGTATTTTTGCAGCATAGACTTGCAAGATGACACAAAAGCATCAAATTCTGAAATACATTCATCACCAACGGAAAATGGTTTTGAGTCCTTCAATCACGAACAGGTAAGGAGACTGCCACTATCAAACTGGCTCTGATCCCATGACTTGGTGATTAGCAGTTATTCTCTTATACGGCGCAGGGAACAAGGATAATAAACTGTGCAAGAATAATCTCATCCCGTATGCAAAAAGATGCTTGTCTTAATGTATCATGAGAAGATCGAATTGAATCTTATATTACATTTACGATCTGGCATGTGTTTCTCTCCCAGGCTTAGCCTACTGTAATATTTGATGCAATTTAATTGGCGAAGCCTACATTTGCATGAAGAGCTAAGTTTTGGTTTAGGGAAGCGGGGAGTGAAATTCTTTTATCTTTTTTCTTTTCCTTCTTTTCCTTTTGGGCAGATGAAGGATAAATTTGTCATAAAGTTAGTCTTCAGAAGATATTCGTATTTGTTGATGCATGCATTAATAGAGAAATAATATATTGCGGCCGCAATGATGTATATAATAGATACTCTATTAGCAGCTTTGCATGTTCACAACTTCACATAAGAGTGGAAAAGTAGGAAGGAAAACATAAAGGGTAGCCATGAAACTTGTCTATGTATATAAGAGGCTGCTTAATTTATTTACCTTCAGTTTTTCATTTGCGATGTGCACCATTGCTATTTTTATGTTTCCAAATCGTCAGGGAAAGAGCGACGACCGGGAAAAGACTAGTAAGAGCAAAAGACAGACTAAAAAGGCCAAAGTGGAGACCAACTCCCTAAATATCAAAGACATGTTTAGTAGGGCTACTAGGAGGGGGAAGATGAAGTAATGAAGCAGAAGAGCACCGATAAGACATAAGAGGCTTCTTGGAGCAAGTTTTCAGAAAATGAGGGACATTTCAAATGTGATTGAACAGGTTTGGCGTGTCGATTATGAAGTAGATGGCTTAGTTTATGAACTGGTGTTGTTGCTGCTGTAAAGAGGCTGCATATGTATCATCTTTTACTGTTGCTTGTTAGTTATGCACAAAGTCATGTCACTAGCGTGGCGTTTCATTGATTCATGGTGTACACCATATGTATTCATCACTCATACCTGCTTTGCAAAGGCAGCTGTAAATGCTAAGTTATTGGCTTCAGAAGTCAATCTAACTTGTGTGTTTGTTTTGCTTCTGAGAGTTGTTTTGCTCAATGTTAGTCGAAACTAAGAGCTTTCTATTTTCTAATCTCTAGACAATGCTATTTGTAACTTGCTCGTGCATGCCACAATTTTCCAGTTGGCGCGGCCCTCAGAGGGCCATGAGGTAGTCGAAAAAAGGATCAACCAGAAGGAGGCGATTGTCTTCTTTCATATTCGATTTCTTCATTCCGGATTTCTCCATTCCTTCCTAAATGCCTGCCTTAAGGGAGATATTAACATGGAAGCATGATGAATAAGTGTGATGCTGTTGGCCGGGAGTCAACGGGTTTAAAGTGGAGATGATTTATTATTCCTTCCCGTCCATCTTCTATGACACTCTTTTCCTTTTAGTTTCTTGCAAAAAGAATGAAAACTTTTTTATAGTTGGAAATTCCTTGAAGTTAAACTTTCTATAAACCTAAATAACATGCTCCTATAGTTATAGAAATGTCATGACGAATTTGGTTTTCAGGTGATTTGGAAGAATGATTCTCAACTAAGAAGCTTTAAGTTGGAAGAGTTGACTAAGTTTGACTTTTGTGTATTTGACCCTGGATCGGAGTTTTAATGATTCCGTTAGGTCCGGATGGTGATTTTGGACTTGGGCTTATGCCGGATTATGTTTTAACCTATAAGTTCTAAGAGTACTTTTGATATGTTCCAAAAGTCTTTTTCTTTCTTTTCTTAAATTCTATAACTGAGTCAAATACTGTCATATAAAATAAAATGGATGGAGCATATATGTGTGTTGAATACACACAAGTGATTTGAGCTAAAAAAAACTTGGGTCCTTCGCTGCCAAAGCCTGGATCCAACCCATTTCTCCTGAAAGTAAAATTATGGAGTAACTATAAAAACTCAAGAGAGATTAGATTAAGTTACAATTGGATATCCTTTTTCTAAATATAATTGTTATAGGGGTGAGATATTTTCTCTTGGTTTGCTAATAATCAGAAATTGCCAGACAAGTTGACTATAAGCAGGACCCTTAAATGAAAAATTGCTTTCCCTGCATTAAAAATTCTTGATTAAGCCTCCAAAAACATCTCCAGCTGATTTTCAAACATATAAAATGTTCGTTTATATGGTAGGTTTAAGATTAATAGAAACACAGATTAGACCAATAATGCCACTAAAACAAGAAATTATTCTTTTCAGCTTTGACTATATGACAAGCTGTCCTTGTAGAAAAGCTTGAATTGTAAACAAGATCATGGTTTCCATTATATCCTTCAACACAAGAAATGTGGAGCACAATTGGAGTAAATTCCTCATATTTCCTTAAAATACTAAAAATGTGGAGCACAATTGGAGTAAATTCCTCATATTTCCTTAAAATACTAAAGGTAAGGCCAGTGACCAGGAGGTCACGGGTTCGAGTTGTGGAAACGGCCTCTTGTAGAAATGCAGGGTAAGACTGCGTACATTAGACCCTTGTAGTCCAACCTTTTTCCGGACCCCGCACATAGCGGGAATTGTGTGCATCGGACTAAAGGTAGCACCTATATGGATTGCTGCAGAAAGTCAACCTAAGACTAACAGAAGGCAAAAAGAAAAAAGAAAAAAAGAGGTTTATCAACATGTTGACTTAGCTGGTTCTATGGCCAAATGAGTTGCCTTAGTTATCTTATTACAATTGAACTTGACTATTCTTCATACATATGGCAATAGGAAAAGAAGACTATTAACTTGATATATTTCTTCAAAAGACAATTTCCAGACAGATTTTAAAACAGTTAGCAGTTTTTCCCTAAATATGTATGTAACAAGGCCTCTTTCTTACTACCAAAAGAATCCAGATGCTCTTTCATTACCTCCTGAAGGTCCAAATTCAGGTTACTTAGTGATTCAAGATGAGGAATCTGAAACTTATTGTTGTTTTGGACTTTGTAAAAATTATGATATCATGGACCTGCCTTTCCCTCAGAACAAGAAGCTGACCGTTCGATACCAATGGAACGATGGAATGAACTCTCGTATTCGTAGTGATGAGAACATGAGAATTCAAAGGGATGATGTAATGTTCATTCCAGTTCTTAATAAGCCATTGTCTTCTAATCATTATTATGCTATCAAGCCTCATGGAAAGCGCAAGGGGTATGTTATTGTATTTACACATTTACCCCGCGCATAGCGCGAGCTTAATGCGCCGAACTAACCATTATGTGATTCAAATTTTTCCTGATTGCAAAATTTACAAGAACACAGCTTAACAAAGTTCAGCCTTAGTATTGTGTTTTTGCCTTCTATTAATTGGAGTGCAGAACAAGTGATTCTGGCAAAATTCATTTTCTGGTTTATTTCTTTGCCTGGATAAAATCCAAGGTAATGAATCTTATGTTTGGTTTTATATTGAGTGATTGAAATTTTTTATGTGCCTATTGTCGAAAAGTCTCAACATTTTCCGAAAACCTGTGTTGCGCGGACTCTCCAAATTGTTGTCGGCAACTTTTGAAGGATCCGGCACGCATCCGGCAATATTTTTTGGAGAGTTCGAGCAACATAGCCAAAAAGACGTATCCAATCTATGTAAGACACATCCATCCCAAGAAATCATCAGTTGAATTTCCATATAGTTCTGACTTTCCATGACTTCTTCCTTTGAATCTTTATCATTTCACACTCCTCTAAAGTCTCTTTTGTATTCACATTACATTGCTACAAAGGCGGTTGAGAGATTTAAGAGTTATCTAGAAATTTTCCTTTGAGCATACATTAGAAGATTCGTGAGTGATTTGTTGTATCTTGTTAGTAGGACGTCATTTTGCTCTTTCCACAGGAGTAGCGATTGAAATCTACTGGACAGCGCCTCCTGTACAGGGCATCGAACCATTTTTTAACATTCAAATCTCCATCTTTTATTTTTTGTTGTTGCATCTTATTCCATTGCATCTCCATCTTGCTGTTGTTACTGCTTCTTGCCTCGGCTTCTTTTTATCTTTTCTTTAGCTGAGGGTTTATCAGAAACAACCTCTCTGTCCTCACAAGGTATGATAAGGTTGTACGTACACACTATCCTCCCAAGACCTGACTTGTGGGGATTCACTGGGCCTGTTGTTGTTATTGTTGTTGAATCTTATTCCGTTATTAAGATTTCATCTAATTAATATCATCTTACAATTTCTGAATGACCTTTTTGCAGACAAGCATTTACTTGTTCAAAGGAGGAAGACAAGCAAACGTGCTGTTTCTGCAGATGTGTACGAGACGTTAAACCGAAGCCATTAGATCCAGAGGAGGTATATCAGCAGTTTCAGATTTGTCTATATGATACAGGTTGCAGTGCCAAAGGTAACTTTTTCGCTAAGTCTCTTGCACCAGATGGTTTCCCACCGCACTTTCTAAGGCGAAAAGGTTGGCATCTTTGTGCCGAAACTCCTAAAAATTATGAATTAAATGATGATGCTTTAGGCCTCAATGCTGAGTTGAGGCAACAACTTCCAGAGTTCAATTTCACACCATCTTGTAAAAGTTCTGATGTTGTTGTTGTAGGGAAATGGTATTGTCCTTTCATGTTTATTAAAGATGGAATAGTATTACTTAAAGAACAAATGAAGAGATCAATGTTCTATGAAATGACACTTGAGCAAAGATGGGAGCAATTTTTCACTTGTCAAAATGACTACATTAATGAAGGGAATTCAGTACTTGTTGATGTTGCACCTGACACTGAAGTTGTCCTAGTTGATGGAACTAAAGCAACATGGGATGATAAAAATGTCGTCGAACGAGTAATATGGTTTAGAAGCTATGATAAAAATGGAAAAGAAGTAACAAGTATGGGATTGAGAGAAGAAATAGTTCAAAGAATGAAGTGGGAACAAGAAAGAGGTGGATGGAAAACTCAAGGGAGGATTAAACAAGTTGAGCAGTACAGAGAAAATAGTAGTGGATGGAGAAGATTCAGTTGCTATGTGTTGGTTGAGAGGTTTGTGTTGAGGAGAATGGATAGAAGTCTGGTGATGACTTATGATTTCAAGCACATTGATAAAGTTCAGAGCATATGGGAGTGACTGTATGATACCAGATTGTAGCTGATGAATGATGTTACTGACTTAGAGGCGGACCAAGGATTTGAAGGTTGCTGGTGCACTTTTTGATTCAACCAAAATGTATTTTGTATTTAAGGTGCCCGCTACTAATATATCACTATTTTCTAAAGACATATGTATGTATATATGAAATTTTTGCCGAACTTTACGGGTGCAGGTGACCCCTCCACCTATAGCATAGGTCCGCCTTTTACTGTGTGCATGTGTGACAATTGTGATGGGTCCATCCCATGTGTAAGGAAGACATCTTCCTTTTGGCTTTGAATTGTCAAGCCAACTAAAGGAATAGTAAGGAAGATTTTATGGCAAATATTTCTTTGGTTTCATATTGAATATTTGACTCTTGCCAAACTCATGATATCATTGGTGACATCAATGAAGCAATCCTAAACACTATAAATAGATGTCTTGCTCTCATTGTAATACACACCAACAAAGAGAGAAAGAAAGAGTGAGGTTTCACAGACAAGGTATAAGAAAATAGTCCGTGAGAAAAATAGAGAGTGAGTGATATTATAGTAAGGTGAGAATATCAAAAGAGGGTTATTTCTTTTGAGTGTTATAGTATTCTTTGGAGTATTTTACTCGGACCTACAAAGTGTAAAATTCCTTGCTATAGTGATATCAATTGCTCGTCTCAAGGCCGTGATTTTTTCCCTTATTCAAAAGGGTTTTCCACGTAAAAATCCCGGTGTCGTTGTCACTCTTTTATTCTTGTTTATTACCGTATCTCGATGCTACGTTATTATTCCGCTTTTATTACTATGAATATTATTTCTGTAGGGGGTTTATTCCCAACAACTGGTATCAAAGCACAGGTTCTGCTCGTTCACAGAAATACTATTCACTATCGGTGGTACTATACTCGGTGAAAAACAAAAATATCCGGAGTAAAGTATGAGGTAGCAAAATTTAACGGAGATAGCGGTTTCTCAACATGGCAAAGAAGGATGAGAGATCTGCTCATTCAACAAGGATTACACAAGGTACTAGATGATGATGCCAAAATGCCTGATACCATGAAAGCTGAGGATTGGGCAGACTTGGATGAAAGGGCTGCTAGTGCAATCAGGTTGCACTTATCAGATGATGTGGTAAATAACATCATTGATGAAGACACCGCACGTGGCATTTAGGCAAGGTTGGAAAGTCTATACATGTCCAAAACGCTAACAAATAAATTGTACCTGAAGAAGCAGCTATACGCCCTACACATGGGTGAAGGTACAAATTTTTTGTCACGTTTAAATGTGTTTAACAAACTTATCACACAACTCGCCAATCTCGGAGTGAAAATCGAGGAAGAAGATAAAGCCATCTTGGTGTTAAACTCGTTGCCATCTTCGTACGATAATCTGGCAACAATCATCCTGCACGGTAAGAATACCATTGAGTTGAAAGATGTCATATCAGCTCTTTTACTCAATGAGAAGATGAGAAAGAAGCCTGAAAGTCAAGGACATGCTCTCATCACAGAAGGTAGATGCAGGAGTTATCAAAGGAGTTCGAGCAACTATGATAGATTTGGAGCTCGTGGGAAGTCTAAGAACCGATCCAAATCAAGAGCTAGAAATTGCTACAGTTGTGATCAACCAGGTCACTTCAAAAGAGATTGCCCAAATCCAAGGAAGGGCAAAGGTGAAACTAGTGGCAAGAAGAATGATGACAACACAACCGCCATGGTACAAAACAATGATAATGTTGTCCTCTGTATAAATGAGGAAAAGGAATGCATGCACTTATCAGGTCCAGAGTCGGAATGGGTGGTTGATACAACAACATCTTACCATGACACACCGGTAAGAGATCTTTTTTGTAGATATGTAGCAGGTGATTTCGGCCTTGTGAGAATAGGTAACACAAGTCACTCAAAGATTGCGGGGATTGGTGACATTTGTATCAAGACAAATGTCGAATGCACATTGGTTCTGAAAGATGTGCGACATGTACCTGATTTGCGGATGAACTTGATCTCGAGAATTGCTTTAGACCGAGATGGATACGAGAACTATTTTGCAAATCAAAAGTGGAGACTCACCAAGGGATCATTGGTGATTGCAAAGGGAGTTGCTCATGGCACGTTGTACAGGACAAATGCAGAAATATGCCAAGGTGAATTGAACGCGGCACAAGATGAGATTTCTGCAGATTTGTGGCACAAAAGAATGGGTCATATGAGTGAGAAGGGATTGCAGATTCTTGTCAGGAAATCACTCATTTCTTATACCAAAGGTACAACGATAAAACCTTGTGACTACTGTTTATTTGGTAAGCATCATAGAGTCCCATTTCAGACATCATCTGAAAGAAAATTGAATATACTTGATTTGGTATATTCTGATGTTTGTGGTCCAATAGAAATTGAATCGTTGGGTGGTAACAAATATTTTGTTACTTTTATTGATGATGCTTCACGAAAATTATGGGTTTATATTTTGAAAACCAAAGATCAGGTGTTTCAAGTTTTTCAGAAGTTTCATGCTCTAGTAGAAAGGGAGACGGGTCGAAAGCTAAAGCGTCTCCGAAGTGACAATGGAGGTGAGTACACTTCAAGGGAATTTGAANTATTTTGAAAACCAAAGATCAGGTGTTTCAAGTTTTTCAGAAGTTTTATACTATGGTGGAAATGGAGATATGTCAAAAGCTAAAGCGTCTCCGAAGTGACAATGGATGTGAGTACACTTCAAGGGAATTTGAAGAGTACTGTTCGAGCTATGGGATCAGACATGAAAAGACAATTCCTGGAACCCCACAACACAAAGGCGTAGCCGAAAGGATGAACCGCACAATTGTGGAAAAGGTGAGAAGCATGCTCAGAATGGCTAAAATGCCTAAGTCATTCTGGAGTGAAGCAGTTCAGACAACTTGTTACCTTATCAATAGGAGTCCATCAGTTCCATTGGCCTTTGACATCCCAGAGAGAGCTTGGACCAACAAGGAGGTGTCCTACTCGCATCTGAAGGTGTTCGGTTGCAGGGCTTTTGCACATGTACCAAAGGAGCAGAGAACAAAGCTGGATGATAAATCTGTTCCATGCATATTCATCGGATATAGAGATGAAGAGTTTGGATACAGATTGTGGGATCCTGTAAAGAAGAAGGTCATCAGAAGCAGAGATGTAGTCTTCCGAGAAAGTGAAGTTGGAACTGATGATGATATGCCAGAGAAAGCCAAGATTGGTATAATTCCTAACCTTATTACTATTCCTTCTACTTCTAACAATCCCACAAGTGCAGAAAGTAGGACCGACGAGGTTGCCGAGCAGAGGGAGCAACCTGGTGAGGTTATTGAGCATGGGGAGCAACTTGATGATGATGTCGAACAAGTGGAGTACCCCACTCAGGAAGAAGAACAACCTCAACCTCTGAGAAGATCAGAGAGGCCAAGGGTAGAGTCATGCAAGTACCCTTCCACAGAGTATGTCCTCATCAGTGACGAAGGGGAGCCAGAAAGTCTTAAAGAGGTGTTGTCTCATCCAGAAAAGAACCAGTGGATGAAAGTCATGCAAGAGGAGATGGAATCTTTGCAGAAAAATGGCACGTAAAAGCTGGTTGAACTTCCAATGGGTAAAATACCACTCAAATGTAAGTGGGTCTTTAAACTCAAGAAAGATGGAAATGGCAAGTTGGTCAGATACAAAACTCGATTGGTGGTTAAAGGCTTCGAACAGAAAAAATATATTGATTTTGACGAAATTTTCTCACCTGTTGTCAAAATGACTTCTATTCGAGCAATCTTGAGCTTAGAAGCTAGTCTAGATCTTAAAGTGGAGCAGTTGGATGTGAAAACTACATTTCTTCATGGAGATTTGGAAGAGGAGATTTATATGGAGCAACCAGAAGGATTTGAAGTAGCTGAAAGGAAACACATGGTGTGCAAACTGAATAAGAGTCTTTATGGGTTGAAGCAGGCACCAAGGCAGTGGTACAAGAAGTTTGACTCGTTCATGAAAAGTCAAACTTACACAAAGACATATTCTGATTCATGTGTATACTTCAAAAGATTTTCTGAAAATAACTTTATTATATTGTTGTTGTATGTGGATGACATGTTAATTGTAGGACAAGACAAGGGGATGATCGCAAAATTGAAGGGAGATTTGTCCAAGTCATTTGATATGAAGGACTTGGGCCCAACACAACAAATTCTGGGTATGAAGATAGTTCGAGAGCAAACAAGCAGAAAGTTGTGACTGTCTCAGGAGAAGTACATTGAACGTGTACTGGAACACTTCAACATGAAGAATGCTAAGCCAGTCAGCACACCTCTTTCTAGTCATCTAAAGTTGAGCAAGAAGATGTGTCCTACAAGTGTGGAGGAGAAAAGGAACATGGCTAGAGTTCCTTATTCTTCAGCAGTCGGAAGCTTGATGTATGCAATGGTATGCACCAGACCTAATATTGCTCATGCAGTTGGTGTTGTTAGCAGATTCCTTGAAAATCCTGGAAAGGAACATTTGGAAACAGTCAAGTGGATACTCAGGTACCTGAGAGGTACCACTGGAGATTGTTTGTGCTTTGGAGGATCTGATCCAATCTTGAAGAGCTATACAGATGCTGATATGCCAGGTGCTATTGATATAGAAAATCCACTACTAGATATTTGTTTACATTTTCAGGGGGAGCTATATCATGGCAGTCAAGGTTGCAGAAGTGTGTCGCACTCTCTACAACTGAAGCGGATTATATTGCCGCCACTGAAGTTTGCAAGGAGATGATATGGTTGAAACTGTTCCTTCAAGAGCTTGACTTGCATCAGAAGGAGTATGTCGTCTATTGTGACAGTCAAAGTGCAATAGACCTTAGCAATAACTCCATGTACCATGCAAGGACCAAACACATCGACTTGAGATATCACTAGATTCGAGAAATGGTAGAGAATGTATCTCTAAAAGTCTTGAAGATTTCAACAAGCGAGAATCCCGCAGATATGCTGACCAAAGTGGTACCAAGAGACAACTTTGAATTGTACAAAGAACTTATCGGCATGAACTCTATATGAAAAACTGGAGTTACCTCCTTCAGGTGCATGGGACTGGAGGGGGAGATTTGATGGGTCCATCCCATGTGTAAGGAAGACATCTTCCTTTTGGCTTTGAATTGTCAAGCCAACTAAAGGAATAGTAAGGAAGATTTTATGGCAAATATTTCTTTGGTTTCACATAGAATATTTGACTCTTGCCAAACTCATGATATCATTGATGACATCAATGAAGCAATCCTAAACACTATAAATAGGTGTCTTGCTCTCATTGTAATACACACCAAAAAAAAGAGAAAGAAAGAGTGAGGTTTCACAGACAAGGTATAAGAAAATAGTCCGTGAGAAAAATA